TGCGTAACACGTGGCCGAGCCATCGGAGTCTGGTGCGTGAAATAACGGTGCTGAGCGGTTCAGTTCCTTTTCCGGTGCCGTAAACAAGGCTGGTTACTCAGGTGGTGTTCCTACCGGATGTGAGCCTAGTTGCTGAGGCATCGATGGTCGAATCTAACTAGCCTCTTCATGTCCGCCGATCTTAGGGGCCAGGTTTCGTAAACCGACAGTAGGGTCGAACGTACCGCTGCATTGTACACCCTACCCTTCAGGGCGAGAGTAATGTCGCGCCACTGGCATAGATGGCGAAGGTTAGCAAAAGCGCCCCGAGCTTTTGCTATACGATTCGTGATCTCAACTTCAATCCCAAGGGGCTGATACAACTTCCCAGGTAGTTGAATTTTTGAACAACTTCTTGCTGATCCCCACCAACGGTCAGCAAAGGATGCGATCTGTGGCAATCTTGGAGTTGCGCTTTGCACTTCGAGGGTGCGAAGCAAAGCCCGAAGTGACGGACAGCTGGTGCTAATCTGTCCAGTGCCGTTTGGCATGTCTGGGAGCTGTCACAGATGAGGGCAAAGTCGTTTGCATACTCTTGTTCAGGAAGGCGTTCTCCTGGGAGCAGATCCACACCTTCTATGACGAGTCTTGTGAACGCGATTTCCATGACTTCGTCAACAGCGAAGTTGAAAAGGAAAGGTGACAGCTGGCTTCCTTGTCTCACAACCCTGGAGACATTAAAGGGCGACGACATCTAGCCGTAAGCCCTCAATCTGCCCGTGCTACCCGGCTGTAATGCTCGGATAATATTTACATATTCTCCAGATACACCTTTCCTTAGTAGACAGTCCCAAAGTGCAAGTCTATCCACCGATCGAATGCACCTTTGGATATCGAGGAACACGACAACGGTGGGCCGCCAATATATGTGACGGTGCTCCAACAACTGACGCAAGGTGAAGATGTGGTCGATGCAGCCACGACCTCGACGAAACCCGGCTTGCTCCTCACGAATCTGGCTTTCACGAGCGCCAGTCAGTCTGTGAAGGATTACAGAGGCAAGTAATTTGGAGGCGATGGAGATCAGACTGATTCCTCTATGGTTGCCGCATTCCGAGCGCGAGCCTCCTTTGAAAATGGGAACAATATCGGAGCGGCTCCAGTCGGTTGGGACAGACTCCTTCTTCTGCAGTTTGACTAATAATCACGTGAAGCATCAACAAGAGCAGAGCCTCCGAATTTGAAGAGGGCTGGAGGAAGATCATCAGGTCCCGCGGCTAGTGAACTGAGAATAATTGTCGGAGAACAGCTCTTCTGGTATTCCGTGCCGCACGAATGGACATCTGAGCTTGATGAGTACCGCTTCTGTGATTCCTGAAAGACTGAGTTCTGCAACATGGTGTCAGAGATCATTATCATTACACACATCAGCTAGAGGTGGGAAAACACCTCCGCTATTGTGCCGCAGTGTCAGAGAAGACAAAGGCGAAGATCCCACCTCTGACACCATGTTGCAAAACTCAGAACACATTCATTCACGTGAAAAAGAGGAAATATGTGTCAGACGAATACAAGGCCGTAGCCCGTTCCACACTGAATGGAACTACTCTTTGAGCATTGCAGAGCCACGAGGAGGTTGCACCCCGTCTCCCCAAATAACGGTCAATAGTCTAATATAGATAATTACAGAGGTGGCGGTTTTCGATAGGTGTGCAACCACAATTGCCCTGCTGATGAATATTAACAATAAAAAAGAACGAGGATCATAAGTAAAACCAAAACACCGCTACCAGTCGGGGGCAAAGCGCCTACACTTTGCTGACAATGCTGTGGACCAGATATTGTATGTTGTGAGCCGCATTCGGTGTACCGCACAGGATTCCTCGAGCGACAAATTGTTGGGACAACAGAGATGCAGATGATATCACACAAGCGAAAGAGCAATACAGTGAAAGAATTTACGCCAAAGAAAGGCATATGGGTGTTCAAACTCACTCTTCATGCATGCGTTCCACAAAACAATATCTGGTGCTGTAAACCGATCGCTCAACAAGACGCACGGGAGCGGTCTAAAAGCAAGCAGTGAAACCATTTAGTACTAGAACATGATATTTACAGGAGATTAACAATGAAGCAGAACAAGTGATCAGTTTGACGCACTTCTTTATTGACTACAATTTCTATGTACCCTTGGTGTTTAACCTCGTCTTCTTACCGCTGTTATTTATCGTTATTCTACCAATGTGATTCGCAGCACTTTCGTGCCCATAGTTGTTCCCATAGTTGTTCAACTGAAGTGAATCAAACGAAACCAGAATAAACGTTACATAGATGAGTGGTTGACATAACATGACCTTTTTCGACTACGACTGATGCGAGTCAAAAGATCACCGGTACAGCACGACTTCATGAAGGGTCATTCATGCATCACCAACCTGCTGTTGACGCGGCAGGAATGGTTACAAGCGTTGAACCTGGGGAGAGCAGTGGATTTTACCTACATTGATTTCAGTAAAGCTTTTGATAAAGTAAACCATGAGGCCCTGCTCCACAAGCTGAGGATGTGTGGTGTTGGTGGCGCACTGCACCGGTGGATCAGTGACTTCCTTATTGGGAGATGGCGGGTACAGGTGGATGACCACCTAACGGACTGGTACCCGTCCACTAGCGGTGTACCCCAAGGCACAGTGCTGGGGCCAATTTTATTCCTGATCCACATAAACGAAGTGCCTCAGCTTCTTCGGTCGCTTGTGCACTGTTTGCAGACGACTTGAAGATTTGGAGGGTTATTGATTCTCCCGACGACTGTGACGTCCTTCAGCAGGACCTCGACCGCCTATCCCGGTGGTCTGCAGAAGTTGACCTACCGGTCAACCCGGCCAAGTCCTCGTTTATGAGCCTGGGGAGGGTGGTAATGGGCGTGCGTACACCCTGGCCGGCCACCCGCTGCATCCCACCAGTTCCGTAAAGGATCTAGGCGTACTCTCACGCTGTGATCTGAAGTCTGTCGACAACACGAACAGACTGTACGCAAACGGACTACGCCTGCTTTGGGCACTTAGACGCAGCTTCTGCACTTGGTCTGAAGAGATTGCCACCCGTCTGTTCTCTTCCATGATAAGACCGGTGCTTGAGTACGGCTCACCGCCTATTGTCCGATCACAATAGGTGAGGTGCAGAGACTGGAACGGGTCCAGCATGTAGCTACCCGGCTCATCCCCAGTTTACGGGGTATGTCGTACGAGGACCGATGTAGGAGACTAGGGCTTTATACCCTGTCATATCGTCGGCTTCGAGTTGATCTCATAATGACGCACCGGATATTGCACCTGGGCCACTTCCCTATGTTGAGGCCGCTGCTGCACGTTCGCGCACCAAGCAGCACACGCGGACACCGGTACAAACTAGTGGTACCGGATTTAAAGCGCATCGCTCACCCTCTATGCTTCGAGCGTCGAGTGGTGAAATATTGGAACAAATTGCCGGAGACGCTAGTCGAGGCGAAATCGGTGTCGGAATTTAAGAGATTCCTTGACGCCCACTTTGCGGACTACAGGTATAGGGAGCGTATCGCACCCGGATAAGATGTAGTGCAGCTGCAATATGCTGCCACCGCGCAGGAATCAGCGACGTGATTCCGCGCATGTGCCCGATCCACCTACGATGGAGCAACACAGATTTTTATCTTCTCGCTCTCTATTCTCAGTATTCACTGATGAGCCGTACTAAAAACTGCATGATGCTGGTGTGACGTAGCATAACGTAACGAACGTGTCAGCTGTACGCCGTAACGGCGCTTTGCTGCCGCTCGACCACCACCAGTCGCGCGCGGGCTGAGTATACCGCGAGGACGCCCACCCCTACGCGGATTCGAACTGGTGACCTTATGGTTGCAAAGCAAACGTGCAGACCGCTCGGCCACCGGGCGACGTGACGTAGCATACCCGATGGCATATTCGTCCATTTGACTGGCAGAACTCAAGGCAGAGTTGTGCGCATGTGTTGATGGGGCGTTCAAGGAGGAACTTAGTTTCTGTCGTAGCAAGGAGGACTTTCATGATGAAAAGAGACATAACGGAGGATATAACAACATCCTGGAGGAAGGACCACGATTTCAAAAAATATGGCGGAAGTCCTGTGAAGAGACGCTTGCAAATATCATTGTTGAGTATTGATCAGAACAAGCGAAGTTTACTTTAATGTATTCGTGGCCTCAAATGAGGGTGCGTTGCAATCCAGATAAAAAGAAGGCATTTCGAAACCCAATGAACGCCGAGCCGAATTTCCTAGTAAGTAGTGCCAATCGCCACGTCCCGAATTTCACTCTAAGTTCCGGTCATTTCCACCGGATGAACACAAACAAAGGTGAAACGTACGTAACTAATGTGTTAAGCTCGGTGAAACAGCAAAGCACTAAAAGAAAACTCCGGTTGTGGAATGTTTGCAGTGGGCAACACCAGCTTAGTTCTGTTGAACAACGATGACCTAGGAGCATCGAAGTGCGGTGGATCCGGTTATCGTCACCCACATCTCCAGAATAACAATAGATAACAACAGAGAGGAAATGACGTGAAATGCAAATATAATACAAAGAAAATGGAAGCAAAAATAAAGTACGTTAAACTAATTAGAATGGAATGAAAATTAACGGCTAGATTCAAGAACCCGAATGCAGGAACGCCAGTGACTGCACGACTACGCCATGTTTGATAGGGTGTCCAACCATTGGTGTGGACCATCGCGAGGTCCGAAGTACACACCATCCTGACCAATTCACTCAGTCAAATTCATTACGCTTTTATGCAACGCCATCGACTGGTCAAATCTTGGTTTCGCACAAGTTGCTGCAGCCACGGTGCGAAATTTCACACCGAGGAAGACGGTCAACGGGCACACGTGGGGCGTGACGTAGATAACGTAAGCGGTTGAGATTCAGCAAACAGTCGAGTGAGGCATATGGAGGCCACTTGCCAGAAACGAACTGGTGAACGACGGCATTGCTCGCCCGGTATCCTCACCATGTGAGCACTACTCGCAAGCAGAAGTGGTTAAGCACCACCAAGCGTTGAATGCCATCACTGCGAACAGGTCGTCTCCGATCCATACAGTAATACCGATCTAATCGCAGTGTCATACACTTCATCTTTTACTGACAGGCTGATATGTCGCCGTCATCGGGCCAAGAAGTATACTGGAGAGTAGAGAGAAAGAGGGCAAGCACAACGCATGCATCGCATTTGACCTACTAGTTCACCAGAATAATACCGGAAACGGCCAAGGATGATTCAGATAAGTTCAGTCAATCCATGACCCCTGTACCCTGAAAACTAGTGACAATAGAAAGAATTCAAGAGCAGGTTGACTTCGTGGTTGCAATAAATCCTTTGGAATTTCTAAACAGTAGCGCCACCGGTCCCCAGAGTTGAGAAACACCGCCCCACTCACGTTCTCACATGTTGCTACGTGTTCTTCTGCCATACCAACGACTGGGAATGTTCGATGCACAGTATTTGTAAACGATAAGGGTCGGCTAATAGAGAAGTGAAGAATATGACATGCCAGCATAAGCGGATGAACTACAATGAACCCTTCAGTTTGGAATCGGCAAATCTGTTAGCAAACCTCAATAATACTAACGCAGCGCTTTCGTCGGAAAGGAGTAGCAGGGGGTGGTTGGTACGGCAGAATCGAAAACCACACAACGGTCAAACTGCCCATGGAGAGGAGTGCACCTTATTGTCATTTAGAAAAGAACGGTGAACGGCTGTTACGCTAGGTTTAATGAAATTTTGTCATAACCATCAACAGAGTAAATATGCTATTCGAACTGATGCCTCCCTGCCAAACAACCATGATGATCTACAAAGCAAATATTAATAATAGTAGTATTAATAATAACAACGCGGGAGGGAAGAGGGACCTAATATAAAACCTTAACACCCTAACCAAACGTACAGGATCAAGGCGCCTACACATGGTTAGAACATACCATCAACAACAGCTTGCTATCATGCAAAGGTAGGGCGGCATAACGAGGCAGCTTTCACGGCACCAGAAGATAACTCAGTACCAAACACACATTAAACAATCCGACTAGGAGACGATAACAGACACGCCATTGGTGTCGACTGCGAGTCACATCCTGTAACATATCGAGCCAAGAACAAGACTAGCCACATGGAGTCCAGCCCGGGAGGAGAGACGGATCAACAACAATCAGTTTGGTCGCTAGTAACTACATTTCCCACTGCCAAGGCAACTTTTGACCACTTCAAGCCTTGTACCACCCTAGATTTGGCAAACAAAACAAGGTCCTCTGCGGTAAGCGGTGAGTGGGCATACAAAATACGTGCCCAAGCCAACGCAACTTATTTAGGGCTATCTGTCATTTTAAGGAACCAGGCTGATTATCAATGTCTAGCACTCGCTTACGCACATCATCGTTGTGGACACGCTGGTGCCACCCGACACCAGCAATACCTTGCAGACAATGGTAGTCAAAGACCTGCAGGCGTCCCAGATAAGCAGATCGAAGGGGTTAAGTCTCACTCTCAAACAGTATGGTTTCCGTCACTGTGGCCTTGTAAACGCGGCCATTCAAACCAAGGAAAACCTTCACCAGCCGCCACAAATGTACCAGATTTAAGAAATCAGTTCCGCTGTGTCAAGCATTGCTCGCGGGTCGCAGTAATAGAGTGTTCAGGGCGTTAGCCGTGAACTACTAGGCTCTGAGTCTCACCCCACCTTAGACTATCTCCACTTGAGGAGGCCAAAGCAGGACGAAATCGAGGTCGTTGTGTGCCAGTATTGAGAGGAGTAACTCACAAATATTTCTAAGTCAGTTCTAGGTTTGGTGGTTCGGCGTTGCTCCTCTAAACCCTGACACCCCATAACCGGTTTCGTCCTCATTTGGACTCATCAGATGGAGATAGCCTGAGCTGGAGTGGACCTCGAGGCCTAGTGTTCAAAGGTTGCCGCCTTGACCATTAGGGCTCTAAGATTCGCGAGCAACGCTTGGAACAGCGGTAAAGAATGCCAAGTTCTGGCTTTTGCAATATATGGACTGACT